CCGGGACCAGGACTAGGAGCCAGAGCGAGGCCGAGGCGCCGCCGCCATGAACCGCTTCTTCGGCAAAGCGAAGCCGAAGGCGCCTCCGCCCAGCCTCACCGACTGCATCGGGACGGTGAGTGCCCTCCCCGGGGAAGCTGGCCCGCACCCGGGCCCCCGGCGCCGGCCGGTACGCTGCTCGGCCCGGCCGCCTCCGCGGGGGTGGCCCGGTGGGTTCAGGGCCTGCGCCCCTCGGGCCGTGCCTCCTCCCGCATAGGTGTGGGTGTAGGGCTTCGCGCGTGAGTCACTGCGTGTCCGTGGGCCTGCTCCTACGCGGAAGTGTGCGGACGCCCGTACCGACCCGGAGGCACGGCGGGGGTGCGCTGGTTTGGGGGTACAGCCTGTGTGTGGGGGTGTATGTGCGTGGCAGTGTGCACCTGCGTGTAGGTGTGCCTCTGGATCTGGCGTGGAAACACAGCACTGCGTGGGCACTCTGTGTATGTGTGTGTACTTGAGTGTGCATAGATACGCGCCTCTGCTTTGCTGCAGCGTGTTTATGCATATGCACACATCTATTTCAGGGTGCACCTGTGCATCAGCACAGCGTGTACAGAAGGAGCGTACCTGTACACCAGTACATACATTTGTACATATATACACACATGCCAATATTTGTTTCCTGCGCACAGGAGCACATCCCATAAACGGATGCACTCAACATGCAAGGCCTGGCTTTTTTTATATCCTCATGGGTATTTTCTGTATTTCTATCTAAGGACTTTTTTTTTTTTTCTGTGGTAGGAGAACAAGCATTACCTTAAGATACCTAACCAATTCAAGATTTTTACATTTAAAGAGCTGGTTCTGCGGGATCCCTAATCTGAAGTGTTTACTGGAGCCCAGGAAACACTTCTCCCTACTTTTCTTTGATGGCTGGTCACTACTGAGTTTGCCAGCTGGCAGTGTGATGCCCTCCTGTGTCCCCAGTTGCTCCCCACGCTTATGTTCCCACTCTCCCTTGCAGTTTCTGCTCACTCTTTTGCCGTGCCTGCCATGCTTGCCTTGACTTTGCACGAAATGGCAGATTTTTTGTTATCCTTGCTGGCTGAGCTGTCAGATGACTCAGAGCTGTCATGAGGCTGATAGGAGGAAGGACGCATCAGTGATGGTAGCATTGGTATTTTTATTTTTTCTTCTTTAAAAAAACACTCCAAATTTATGTTTTTGAGAGTAGTAAGTAGGAAACATATGAACAAAGGGCTAATAGTTGTGATAATGTTAAAAATCAGTCTTACACATGATGTTCTTTTTGCTTTTATTTAAATAAGGTGCAATTTTGTTCAACAGGGAGTTGGGATATCATGATCACTTGCTTTTGTTTACAGTGGGGCCCTTCTGTAGTAATGAAACATACCTTGGTACGCATTATTTGTGAATAATAGAAAGCAGATCTTCAAGTCCTAATAAACATTTTAGTCTTCCTATGGATAAATTAGATCTGTTCTACTCTCTTCTGTCCTCATCTTTAAAAGCTGAGCTCTTGTGTAACGTGTCAAATTATATAGTTAATCAATGTAGGAGGATCTGTCTCTGTTTCCTTCTCAAACTGCTTAAAAGAATCATTATATAAATAAACCAAATAACTGGTTTTCCCCTGTAAAGGAAGCTGACCTTAAAGATGCATTTAGGTGATGAAGATCTTGAGGAGGTGCTACATTTTGAACCTGTAAGAGTTTTAAATCATAAATAAGTCTTTTTCTTGTTGTTAGTAAAATATTTGGCATACTAGAAAGCTTAATACAATTTTTTCAAAGCCAGCTGTGCCCATGCACTTTAATGTCTTGTGTGGAGTGTTTGTATCAGATGTTCTGCTCAGGATGCCTCTAGCAAATGCATGTTGCTGTCATAGAGATGTAAAAGGATTATTGAGACACCAAAATGAAAATCTGCATAATTATTCATGTTCATCTTCACTATTAGCAAGTCAGAATTGTAAATTTGCACTGATTGGTCTCATGCTATAATTGGAATGTCATTATATTCTAATCCCTAGAGAGGTTCCTTGGAACGAGAAGTTAATAAGCTTTATTTTGTTGTTTCCAGGGAAATGCTGTGATAGTTGGTTCATGTTAAGAAGGCTTTCTTTGTTTCTTTATGAATTTGTGTATTAGAATGATCTATACCTATGCTGGGTACGGGTTATGTAATTATAATCTTTAACCTTCTTATGCTGAAGGGTTAAAATATTCCCATGATATGCCTTGCACCAGGGCTGTTAGGGTTGACTGCTGGAGGTCTCTTACTGAGCTGCGCACCTACTATTGGGATTTGGAGCAAAAGTGCAGTAAGAATTTGGAGTAGCTACCAGGTGGAACTGCTGTGTCCTGGCTCCTTTTGCGGGAAGTGATAGGAAAAATGTTGATCTGACAAATAAGCTAGGAACCTTTCAAAATGGTGAAGTCTGGGCTTTTTAAACATAACCAGTAATCTAGGTATCATTCTGAAGGATTAATGTTCTCTGCCCACCAAAAATAAACCTCTATCCTTGCTGAACACATCTCTGTCCCTTTTGCATTGCCCCCTTATCTGCCAGCGTAGTACAACTGTGTTTTCCTTTTTGCATTCCAGTTTAGTCCCTGGCATTGTATGTTATCAGAAATTCCTGAATAGAGACCGTGACTTGAGTGGGTGTGCAAGGGAACATCTCAGTGACAAGAGCACGTTACAATGGCAGAGCTTCTTGTGACCTCCAGAAGTTGCTTGTGCTCCTTGGAGAAGGTGTTTCACTCAATTCTGATTTTGGATTCCCTACAAACTTTGAACTGTTTATAAAACTACTAAGTGAAGGAACAGTTCAGTTAGAAGCACAATAAAACTGAGACTGTTCTTTATATCATCCAATATATGAATAAAACCTTAATGAGTGGGTTTTTTGTTTGTTTTCCCCATCATGCATTAAAGGTGGATAGCAGAGCTGAGTCAATTGACAAGAAAATTGCTAGGCTTGATGCAGAACTAGTGAAGTATAAGGATCAAATGAAGAAGATGAGAGAGGGGCCTGCAAAGGTAAGAATCTTCTGTGCAATTTAAGCATGAAAGGATATGACTCATGCTTCTTGTCATGTAGTGGATGATGTAGCCAGTTCATCAGGTTCTTAGAATTGCATCTTGCCCTACTGATGAGGTGTAAAATCCTGCAGGATTATTTTTATTCTGAAGCATCTCTTAGACATTCATTTTTGAACAGTGCTTTCGTTGGTGTTATTTCTTCCATTCCTCAATCAGAAGGAACTTGCTTCCCTTCTTCCTTCTGTTACCTGAATTAAGTCTGGTAGAGAGGCTGTTTTGTTCATCAGCCATAATAAAATGGTCTGCACTATGCAGAAAGGGAGTAGCAAAACCCCTTTTTGAAAGGGGATGAACATATATTATAAAATTTATTTAATAATAAACATACATAATATAAACAGTAGCATTAAGGTTGTGGTATTATTTGATGCTGACCATTAAGATGTGTTGATGAAAGATGGTTCTGATAGACTAAGTTTGTGCTCTGCTTATGAAAAAAAATTTCAAAAGCCAGGCATTTTTAAAAGTATCTTTTATTAGAAGCTTTACATACAAGCCTATTTGGTTAATCATTAATGCAGGACAAACGCTGAATGTGACTATTGTTAAACTCTTTGCACTAACTCATTCCTCATTCCTCAGTAACTGAGGAATTTCTTGGAAGTCTTAAATGCAATACATTAGGTTTCAACAGTATAATCAAGAGTAAAGTCAAGTATTTTTCCTAATGTAACAATACCGTGTCTTTCAGAATACAGTAAAGCAGAAAGCGCTGAGAGTGTTAAAGCAGAAGCGAATGTAAGTTTAAACCTTTCTCTGAGATTAATGAAAGCCTGTTTTCTTTAAGGGGGTATAGCATACTTTAATTTCTCTTTCCAGTGCTTCTGAGCGTTCTTTAAAGAAAAACGCTGAACAAGCTAACCAGCCTTTCAGAAACATTTTCTTACAGGTTTTGCGTCAGCATATTTGTGCTTTATTTGTATGTGAGTGTAAATTTGGACTGGGACGAGCTGACCTAAATCTGCTCATTATTACAGCTATGCTTGGCTCCTAAACTTTCTGAGAAAGTACCTCATTTTATATTATTAATTGATTACTATAAATTGTGTACTCAGTAATCTTGTTCTGGTTTACTGGAAATTTACCTGTTCTCTGTGGACACCCTTTAGGACTTGAGCACATGTAGCGCACGTAATTGTGTCTATGCAGAAAAACCAGAATGGACAGGATAGATGATCCTGTGGTGTGGTCTGGTCTAGTCTAGTATACTGTCTTGAAAAGTGTCCGGCAACAAATACAAAGGAAAGAATGTCAGAACATGGTAAGTGTTCAGGGATGCTTCACTGGAATATCTTACAGTCCCTGAACTGCAAATCTCTTAGATGCTGTCTGAGCCAAAGCTTGTGTTGTCTTGTATTTCATATCCCTCAGATGAATTGTACCTCTACAGACCTGCTCAATTACATGTAAAGTTTTTGTGAACCCTTAGCATCCAAAATATCCTATGGTAAGGAATGCAGTAGTTTCATTAGAAGTTGTGAGAAGGACTCTTTGGTTTGGGGTTTTGGTTTTTTTTTTCCTTTTTTTGACTATGCTGCCTGCTAATCTTGATAATTGTTCCCCTATTTACAGTCACTGGGCCCCTTATAATAGGCTATCATCATATCCTTCAGTCATCTGTTTTTCATCATATCCTTCAGTCATCTCTTTTCCATCTTGTTGAACTGAAATAGTCATTCCTTGTCCAGAAGCTGTTTTGTATTTGATCATCCCTGTCTTGCAGACCTACTGCCTTGGACGTTTCAAGAAGGACTCATTGTTTTTATGCTTTAATTTTTATGTTTAAGTTGACATTTTACAATCTTGATTGGGTACAAGTTTAGCTTTGAGAAGGAACGATTTGTTAATTTTTAGTCTCCCTTTTCTGTTAGCTTTTTGCTACCCTATCCTCCCCCTCTTCTCTGCCCTGCAGAGCTCCAGTGCACAGCCACTGTGGTTTGGATAACCTGCATCTCTTACATGCTGCTTACAGCATTAGTGAGCAATTGCATGCATCTCTGGCTTATAGTGATTAAAATTTTGCTATATCCTCGCCTACTGTGTAAACCTACACAAATATGGTATTGCCATCAGTTAAAACAGAAGCTTAGTTCAGGAGCAGCTTTGTCAAATCTAAATATATAGAAATGCATAATGGCTGGATTTTTACAACACTATTTATTCTGATATGACTATTTATTATAATATTTTTTAAAAAAACTGTTCCTATCTTTAGACTACTCCTTTTAAAAATTTTTTTTTCAAAATTAAGAATTTTGTGGCAATAAATAGTGGTGTTTTAAAGCCATTCTTTGCATTGTTTTTAACAGGTATGAACAACAGCGGGATAATCTGTCACAGCAATCTTTTAATATGGAACAAGCGAATTACACTATTCAGGCACTGAAGGATACAAAGACAACGGTACCAGTATATTAATCTCGCATGTGTTTAACTTGTGTGTGCTACATCAGATACAAGCATGTTGTCTGACTCTGTTCTAGGTTGATGCAATGAAACTGGGGGTGAAAGAAATGAAGAAAGCTTACAAGCAAGTCAAAATTGATCAAATTGAGGTGAGCTTCTATATCTGAAATTGTTGCTGAGCTGAATAGTGCCAAGTAGACTATGTAATTTAAATGTAAGCTGACTGCTTTAGTTCACATGAGTTTACCTCCTTTTTAAGGGACCACCATAATTCCTTCATGATTTCTCTGGTACTGCACAGCCAGTTGTTGGCCTTAGTGCACTAATTGTTGTTTCCTTGCTGGGCTAATCTTTAATCTCTCCCTTCTTTTCCTCTGCACTTCAGCATAAATGTTGGTGAATACTTTCTGCTATGCCTTTTTTGTCGTCTTTTTCTTGTTTGTTTGTTTTTTTGTTTTTACCCTCATGTTAGCAGCATGCAGACCAGTCCTTTGCTCCCCCAGTTAAAGATAGTGCCCAATTAAAAAAACAAAACCCAGAAACAAAACCAACCAAAACCCTTCATCAATAAACAAACAAACAGTTTAATTTAGAGAGGTCTGCAAGTCCTGGCCCTGTCTTCAGAAAATGAATAAAAAACCCCCATAAGATCTCTAAATATAATTTGAAGTATGCTGCACTTAAAGTCTTATCAAATGCCAGTGCTGAATTCCTTTAAGTTCTCTTTCCTATGCTTTTTCTACATATGACCTGCATTGTAAACCTTTAGGCAAGTATTACCTCCTTACTTGTACCCAAGCACAGTGCCAATAGGCATGCTAAAGTATCTGCTAAGTTACAGCGTGACACATTTCAGGTTAATACTTATTCTCTAGAAGGTATTTAATTTCTCTAGATTTCATAATTTCTTGCTTTTCAGATAATGCTGGACTCTGGGTAATTTATTAGAGGTTTTCACTTTACCCTGAAGAATACTTAAAAGGGTTTTGCAGAGATGTTGTTTCAAGGTTCCTCTTTTTCTACCTGATACTTTTATTACAATTTTAATAGTAGTTAAGGCCACACTGTAGTACTGAATGCATGTGTCTTTCATTAATGATGTTACAAAAAATTAAATAAATTTGAGTGCCTTGTATGTTGGAATTACTAAGCTGATTTTCATTAAGCTCTGATTAACTAAAACTATTAAATGTAGACCAGCTAAAATTGTTTCTTGTTCCAGGACATACAAGATCAGCTAGAGGATATGATGGAAGAAGCCAATGAAGTCCAGGAAGCACTGAGTCGTAGCTATGGAACACCAGAGATTGATGAAGATGACTTGGAAGCAGGTTAGGAAGGTGGAGGATGATTTTTACATCACTGAATGTAAAAATCATCATACAGTGATTTTTAATTTCATTAGGAAAATACTTTGTGTGTTTAAAAAAAATTAGTTTTAATCACTTTTTAAAACACAAAAGCTGCATTTCCTTTAAGAACAGTAACAAAAGCATGAGACAGACATGTGAGATACACACTAATGGAATACTACAGTGAAGGAAAGAAGGTTCTGTCTGTTTTCTGTATGTTTATTCTCGACTGATGACTAAGTAATGCTAAATGAGTACGAATGTAGGCATTCAGTATGAATCCTGTTTCTCTGTAAGAGCAACTGTTCTTTTTGCAAAAGAATTTCTTTGCATAATTTTTCAACCAAGATAATTAAATTTCAGAACTGGATGCGTTAGGTGATGAGCTTTTAGCTGATGAAGACAATTCCTACTTAGATGAAGCTGCATCTGCTCCAGCAATCCCAGAGGTCACTCCTACTGACACAAAAAACAAAGTGAGTCCTTTCCTTATTGAAAGCAAAATAATCCAAGACCAAAAAAAAAAAAAAGTAATCAAATTTATGTTGGTTGCTTGGTATTTGGAATCCTTAATATTTTGAACAACCAAAAAAAAAAGTCCTTAATGGTTTATGTGTTTTGGATATATATCATATATCTTTCATAAAAATACATCACAGTATATAAATACAGTGTACTTAATACTCATATTTTAAAGAGCTAAAATGGCATTTTGTAACTTCTATCTAACATTGTCAGATTGCAAGTAGAATTTCAGTGTACCATTAAGCTCCTAGTACAGTTAGTCTTAAAAACATAAGAAATGTAAAAAAGCAAATAGAATAAAAGCTTTTGTGGCTTTAATATAGCTTCATAGTGAGGAGGAAAACTGATGCTCTTATTCTGATCCCATCTGGCACACAGTGACAATTACAGATTTATCACTTCATAGAAAATTATAGGGAAAGGGAAACTTTTGTGAAATGTTCTGGTTGGTGGAGAGTTGTTAACCTGTTGCTGCTTTTTCTTCATTACAGGATGGTGTATTGGTGGATGAATTTGGATTGCCAAAGATCCCCGCAACATAAATGTTTCAAAAGCACAATGGATATAATGAACTACACTTATAAATTAAGAAGTTTTTTGTTTTTTTTTAAATCCTGGAGAACTTGTCCTTCCAGTGTAACCTTAATATCACTACATCCTAGAATGCAGTATGAATGGCTGGTGGTGTTCTTTCTCTGAAGAAAGTTGTTTTACTACTGACTTTTCTATTAATGGAAAATTCGGCATAATTCCCTTCAGTGGAAGCAAGTCAGTCTAATAGGTTTTGATTTTCATGTCTTATGGACAAAGTAATATGTGAAGAGTAGTGGTGGCTGTTGATAGCTGAGGTTTATTTTGACTTCGTATTGTTTCTCTTTCTTGAAACTAAGACTGTATGTTGCTGCTTACTCTCTGTAAAATAGCTCCCTTATTACTATGCTCATTTGATAAAGGAATTGAAAGCAATTTTTAAACTACTGCAGTCTTGAGACTTTTATGCTACCATACTTGTAACCTTCTTGAAAGCTGTAATAAGTAGGGTTATCGTTAACTTTATGTATTCTATGGCGACATAAAAATCACATAGATTAGCTGATCCTTTTGTGTGGCGTTTCTGGTAATTAATGTGTTCCTAACCTGCCCCGTTCTTAACAGTGTCATGTGCTGCTCGAGCACTGGCTTTGCCGGAGGTGGGGACTCCGGCTCCGATCCCCGAAGCCCCTTCGTGCTGCCTTTCGCAGCGTCACGCTGACGCCAGGATTGGTGGGGCCGCCTCTCCGCTGCTGTCAGTTGCTCGGAGCAGCAATAAAAGCCAACAGGAAAAGCTGCTGGTTTTAATTCCCCCGCAGCAGGTCTGAGGCGGGGGCTGGGTGCCGGGGCGGCGCTGCCGGTCGGTGGTGGCGGCTGCCCGCCCTCTCGCTAATTGCCGACCCCGCGCCGATGAGGCCGGTGAACAGCAGCCGTGCGCGAGCCACACCCCGGCGCCTGGTGACGTCACGGCCCCGCTGCCCCGCCCCTGCCGGCTGGAGAGGGTGGGCTCCAGGGCGGAAGTGACGCGCTACCGGCGCGCCCCCGGACGCGCCCGCAGAACGGTTTCCTTGTGGCGG